CATCAATCCACCTTGAAACTGGCCCATGATCACACCACAAATGAGAATGAGAAACACAACACACAAAGTTTGGAATGTTATCTTTGCTCAATACACTCAAAACAGTTTATAATCACAACTACACAAAACTGTTTTAAAAGCAGAAATCCAACGTCAAAATTTTATGTTGTATTTAATATGTTGCTGTTGATACATGTCCTGAAGTCATTTCTAACATAGGGAGACCCCCAACAATGTTTTCAAGATAAGTGAGATGTTCAAAGAGTGCTCCACCAGTGCCATTTCTCAGTGAGTCTCCACAGCCAAGTGAGAGTTTGAAACCAGGTCTCCTCCTAGTTTGCCATTCTATCAATACACCATACTGCTCTCAACATAATGCAGATACTTTAAAACCAGCTACCTACAGGCCAGGATTAATGATCCACATTGTGCTTTAACAAGTACCAAAAGAAGCAGCCACATAAATTGTCAATACTAATGCAAGCAAGTTAACAAAATCTGACACATACTACTACTTAATAAACAATGCCAACCTTACAGAAGTATATCCTGGAAACTCCCAAGTTCACATAATACAGTGGTGCCTCGCTTAATGAGCGCTTCGTTTAATGACGAATTCACTTAGCGATGACTTCTTCGGAGCGATCTTGCGCTCCGTTTAACGATGTTCCCTATGGGCGATTTTCGCATAGCGATGTTTGGGACCGTGCTTCGCGTAGCGATGACAGTTTGGGTCCCCCGTTTCGCTTAACGATGGTTTTGACAGCCTCATGTTGGCTGTTTTTTATACGTTTTAAATGTTTTTAAAATGTTTAGAATGCTTGAAATCATAAGTGCACTCAATAAACTCTTTGTTAAACTAATGTGACTTTGTTCTGACTCTTTTTAAATTTGTTGTAATTTTTTCCCCCATTGAGATGCATTGAATAGGTTTCAATGCATTTCAATTGGGGAACTATGTTTCACTTAGCGATGTTTCCTATGGCGATTTTCCCTTAAGGACGGCAATCCATTCCCATTGGAACGGAGACTCTGGTTTTCAATGCATTTTTACGGGAAACCATGATTCGCTTAGCGATGTTTTCTCATAGCAATGATTTTTTTTGAACCAATTAAAATCGTTAAGCAAGGCACCACTGTATTTCAAGGTAGCAACAGAACAACAGCTATTCCCAATCCCTCCCATTTATCTCAAGGTAGCAACAGAACAGCTATTCCCAATCCCTCCCATTTATCAACAAAACAGCTTTAATAAAACCAAATATAAGGACTCCATCTAAGTAATGACTGAAAATTAGGAGTCACTGCTCCTTAATACAGAAACTCCAAGCATCTCCACATAAGGTCATGAACACACAGCACCCTTGCATCTTTTGCACAGGTAAATAAATACCCCTTCTAAAAGAAAAGGTGAAAGACACTACTAATGGGACAAATGGAAAAGGGGAAGTATAGGAAAACTGTATGACTATATTAGAAAGCAAAGAAAAATGAGGCATATGACAGGAAAAAGAAATGTGAATCATAAAATCATTTAGAAGTGACTCCAAAACTGATTCAGCCCAATCCCTTGTAACACAGGAATTAAAACCTAGCATATCTCTGAGAGGAAGAAAACAGGTTTGTTTTGAAATCTTCAGTGAAGGAGAATCAGCTACCTTATGAGGCAATCTATTCTTATATTTAACAGCTTTTACCATCAGGAAGTTTTTCCTAAGACTTAGTCACAATCCTCTTTCTTATAATTGATTCAGCTCTTATTATCTAGATCAAGAGAAAGCAAGCTTGCTTCCTCTTCTGTGTGACAGGCCTTCAAATATTTAAAGATGGCCATAGTACCACTTCTGCAATCTTCACTTCTACATGTTAAACAAAGCCAACATCTGTAACTGCTCCTCACAGAACTGTTTTCTGAACTGTTGCCACTCATGTTCCCAAGCCAGGCCCAGAGCGTAACTGCTCCTCACAGAACTGTTTCCTTCACTACAGTATCTTCTTTATCCTCCTTTGTATGGTTACCTGTTAGTATTCTCACTGTGGTGGGCACTACAGTGGAATAGAGTACTGTGAGGTTCTATTTTAAAAAAAATAGATAATTGTTGCAGGCTCTATATAGCTGCTAAATACTAGAGGCAGGATTACGCAGAAGAACAAGTGTTGGAAAAGCTATCAATGTCCTACATTATATATTGACATGGAACTATCAAATACAGTATGGTGCCATAGTTCAGCGGCTTCAAAAAATGAACATGCTACACAATTCTAAAGCATACAGGGTTTGAAAGCTGTTGGAATTCTATATATTTTCAAATAACATATTAAATGTGAATATATCTATTATTGGCCTATTGAATCAATAGAAATTGATTCAAGAAACAGACAAGTTCTGTAACAGAGCAAGCCCATTTGAATCAATGGACCTTATTGAGGAGTTCCCCATTGATTCAATGGGTACTCAACAATAGGATTTTGGCCATAGCTCACAACTAAACATGGGTCTTCCTACACCTACAATTCTAGCAGTGTTCTATGGAACTTACTTCAAGCAATTATGCACATACAAATATAAAGTGTTAGCATATTTCTGTTTGCTCTTCTTTTGGCCTCAAGTCACTTTCTCACAATTTCACTTCAAACCAAGACTCTGGCTAAAAAAGAAAAAATTAACCAGAAAAACCATTCCAACTCCATTTTTGACAAACAATTGTGAAGCCTGGTTTGTCTTCTTTTAAAAGGAAACATTGGCTCCCAAAATTACTGTAGAGAGAAAGCAGCAGAAACTGAAAGCAGAGAAAAAGTAGAAGAGAAACTACTTTGTTGCTCCCAATTACGTGTTACACAGTGTGACAATGAGAGCGAGAGGGATACCCCACCTGCTGGAGAGCTGTCCCTCCTCAAGAGCAGAGGTGGGGAGGTGGACCCCAAACCCCTCTGCGGGAGACAGTGATAGAGGAGCTGACAGAAGATGTACAGAAAGTGACAATAGGGGAGGTTCAGGGAGATAAGGCAGGAAAGGAGAGAAAGAAGAGGGTAGTTTGAAGCAGGAACCGGGGAAGTGGAAAGGAGGGGAGAACAGTTACTGCCTGGATGGGAATGGGTGTGGATGCAGGATCCGTGGACTGGATTATGGGAGAGATTGAGAGTGCCAAAGGAGGTGGCAGACTACAGGAGTAAAGATTCCCCCTAAACCCTCTTATTGGGGTGAAATGGAAGTGAGAGACTGGAGAAGGAGACTAAGGGAGGAAAAGGAAGGAGGAGAGACAGAAAGGAGAGAAGTTAGAATGGAGAATGACAGAAATGAAGAGAAAAAACTACAGGGAAGACCCTGGAAGAATCGAGACCCCGATGGATGGATCTTGTAGGATGACGATCTGGATGAGGAGACTGTGCCTTGCTGGAAGGTGCGACAAGGCAGACAGTAAAGGACTGGGTCTCCAACTATCTCCAGGGATCCTGGGACTATAGTTACAAAAACCTGTTCTTGTTGGACGAATGGAAGCCCCCTCTAGACCAGTTGGCAGAAGAAAAGACTCATAATCATGTTCCAGATACAGTACTGTACTTGTTTATTGTTTAATCCTCCAATAAATCCCACACCTGTTATGAAACAAGGTGGATCTGCTGATTTCTTTGAATTGAATTTAGAGCCTAAAATCGAACGCTCACACACAGGAGATAAGAAACCATCACCCAGCAGATTTCAGAAGCAGCAAGACTTTAAGAGATTGCGATGTAACCTTTTAATGGAAAAAAAGTTCATCTGATGAACCTGGATGAAGCCCATGAAACTTTACCCCTCCATAAATTCATGCAATTTTCACCTTTTAATCACACTTGCTTTACACTATTAGCCTGACTTAGGCCAAGTTTTCTAACTACAGTATTAGAATATTATTTAAAGATCTACATTCTTCTTTCCCATCCACAAAAAGTAACACACCTCACTTCAAAAGGCTATTTTCTCTCGCTCCCCCAAGCTCCACACCACCTCGCCTTCCAAAACAGTGATCAATATTTATCCACTCACGCAAAAAAAAGGAGAAAATAAGAAAACCAAGTCCAACGCCTCCTCCTCAGGGCCCATTTTCCTTGTTTGGTTCAGGTTTAGGAAGGCGCCACTCATGTTCCCAAGCCAGGCCCAGAGAGAGAGAGAAAGAGAGAGCAACAAACAAGCCCAGTCTTGGCGAACGTGAGGACGGAGAGTCACGAGTCCCTCCACGCCGGGGCGCTCGCCGTCTTAGGCCCATCGAAACAAGGCAGCCGCCGCAGCAACAAAGCCGCATCAAAAAGACACTTTTTTTTGGACAAAGGGAATTATCAGGCCTCATAAACTTCCTCACCTTCCTATGAATCTGGAGCAAGTTGCCACAGGTTCTT